GCTTAACGCATGGGTTATCCACATTGTGCATGGAATTCCACCCTATTACTAACCACGCCAGGAATGTGTGGTGCAACCAAATGAAGCCATTACCATGCAGAAGTATTTCTAGCAGCTTCTAACTGGCCACCATAATGTGGTAGCTTACCCATAGTCCATGTTACCATTTGTTTTGCAGGTCAAAGCAGCTGCACATACTCTGATACAGGAAAAAGAGAGAGAATGGCAACAACAGCAACAGTATTAGACGCCCTGTGAACATTTGAGTCCTCCACTAAGCAGGGGGTTGGACCCAATGGCTTTCTAGGCCCTTCCAACTCTATGATTATGATTCTATGAATTACCCTTCATCATGTGACTTTGCAATCCTCTGTCTCATGTGCTCTCTATGAACATATGAGTGTCATGTTGCATAAAGAAGCCAAACTTGGGTTTGTTAAAGTTCCTCAAATTCCTCTTCAAAGCTCATTCCATCTTGTATCCATAACAGATTGTGATGGGATGGGGTTCCACCAAAATTCATGCACATCTTCCTAAATGCATGCACCATTTTGCACATCTTTGAAATATATGGTTCTTCTCCCATTGATAAAAGTGTGTTCATCCACATTTTTCAAAACTACAAATGTTGCTGAGCATATTCTTTTGGTCCACGAATCATACTGCAAGCTCACAAACATACGCAAGACTTTGATCACAGGTTGCATCATCTATGTATGGTCTGGAAGGTGTGAAGTGTGTGACTTGCTCAAAACTTAAATGAAAGTATACTTCAAACATCCCTACATGCATACAGTACAACCCTTATATATACATCTGATAGTCATGGGTGAATATTAAAAAAATATGTGAGTCACTCGTTAGCACAGTGAGAGTTATGGTGCAATGGTTCAGAGAAGCAGGGAGACCTCTTCAGATCATATCCTCTGCTATGAGTTCACTAGATGATCTTAGAAAAACTACTCTTTCAGCCCTCTCCCAAACAATGTATAATACAAGAATAATAATACTGGTTTATTTTACAGAGTGCTTATGACTTCATGCATGTGAAATATTTTAGCACACAAGAAAAGTTCCAGGTATGTATTATTATTTTGAAGGGGGTCTTTTAAACACACACACGGTATTACATATATGCATTACAATGACAATTTCTGTCATTGTATAGGCACTTAGTCAATCTACTGAGAAACAGCAGAAGTTTCAAAAGGAAAATCTGCCATCGGAATGAAGATGGGAAGGAGAAGCAATGGCTGATCTCCATTTCCAAGAATATGTGGGAAATACCAATCTGCCTCTTGTCTTTGGGGAAATGCTGGCTGGAGCCAGGGGTCAGACTAGATGGCCCAGGTAGATGGCCCAGGAGACCCCTTCTGACTCTCTCTGATTCTATGTATTAAGAAAGCTGCACAGATGGGGATTCGGTAGAGGCAGTCTGGGTGAAACTTAGGGGTTTTGACAGGGAAAGAGACCTGACAGTGGGGGTATGTTATCGCCCTCCAGGTCAACTTGAGACCCTGGATGAGGTCCTGACAGACCAGATTCTAAGGATATCTCAGGGGAGAGACACAGTAATTACGGGAGATTTCAGTCTCCCGGATATTACTTGGGAGACTCACTTGGCGGTGACAGACAGGTCACGTCGCTTCCTAGAAGCTATAGAGGGAGGGTTTTTCACACAGAGGGTCCGAGAGGTGACTAGGGGAGGAAACATCCTTGACTTGGTCTTGACCAATAGGGAGGAGCTGATAGATGAAGTACAGATTAGGGAGCTCTAGATGCGAGTGATCACTCCATCCTTTGCTTTGAGATCAGGGGACTGGGGACGTGCAGCAGGTCGAGCACTAGAAGCTGGGACTTCAAGAGGGCCAGCTTTGGCCAACTGAAGGCCAGACTGGGGAAAGTCTCCTGGGATAGGTTACTGGAAGGTAAGCGAGTTGAGGAGGGGTGGACAGCACTCAAAAGGGAGGTTTTGGAGGCGCAAGCCTCAACGATACCTCTAGTCAGTAAGGTGGGGAGGTGGAGGAGAGTGCCACCATGGATGCGAAAGGAGGTGGTTAGAGGGATTAGACGAAAGAGGAACCTCTGTAGGAAATGGGTACTCAGGGAAATAGACAAAAGGGTATACCGGGAGGAGGAGGCCTGTTGCAGAAGGATTCTTTGCAAGGCTAAGGCTGATTATGAGCTGAGACTTGCCAAGAATATCAAGAGCAACAAAAAGGGCTTCTTTCAGCATGTAAATAGGAAGAGGGAGACAAGTGGTGGGACCACTAAATAAGGAGGAAGGAGATCCAGTGACTGAGGGAACAGGCACAGATGCTAAATGACTATTTTGCCTCTGTGTTCTCCCTAAAGCAGGACGGGGGATATCCGCATAGGAGATTAGATGACGCTGGGGACTTAGGGGCACAGATTAGATTCACCCCCCTTGAAGTCGAGGGGCTCCTCAGGGCATTGGACATTACAAAGGCGCCAGGCCCTGATGGGTTACACCTGAGAGTACTTAGAGAGTTGGCAGGGGTTCTCTCACGCCCACTGGCCTCCATTTTTGAGGCCTCGTGGAGAACGGGTGAAGTTCCAGAGGACTAGAGGGTGGCATCAGTGGTCCCAATTTTCAAAAAGGGTAGTAGAAAGGACATGGGGAATTATAGACCGGTTAGCCTTACGTCCATTGCAGGAAAAACAATGGAAAGGCTCATAATAGAGAGAGATCTAGAGATGCTAGATAGGGAAGGGAGGCTGACAGCCACACAACACGGCTTCCGCAAAAACAGGTCCTGCCAGACAAATCTTGTGGAATTCTATGACAAGGTTTCGAGATGGCTAGATGGAGGGGATGCAGTGGATGTGGTATACCTGGATTTCAGCAAGGCCTTTGACAAAGTGCCCCATGATAGCCTGGTGGAGAAACTGAGGAGTTTTGGGATACACCAAAGCACTGTCCGGTGGATTAGGGCATGGCTGACTGACCGAAAGCAGAAGGTAACCATTAGCGGGGAATCATCGGGATGGCGGCCAGTGACAAGCGGGGTCCCCCAGGGCTCTGTCCTGGGGCCAATCCTGTTTAAGCTTTTCATTAACAACATGGAAGAAGGGGTGAACAGTCTGCTGATCAAATTCGCAGACAACACTAAAACTGGAGCAGTGGCCAGAACTGAGGAGCAGGTACTCCAGATCCAAAAGGATCTGGACAGACTATGGAAGTGGGCAGGAGACAACAGGATGGCGTTCAATGTGGATAAGTGCAAGGTCTTGCACTTGGGGCATAGGAATAGCTGTCATAAGTACAGGTTAGGTGACACGTGGCTGGAGAACAGCACTTGTGAAAGGGACCTCGGGGTGCTGGTTGACTGCAGGCTAAACATGAGTCAGCAGTGAGATGCGGTGGTCAAGAGGGCGAACGCCACCCTTGGTTGCATAGCCAGAAGTGTGGCTTCTAGATCAAGAGAGGTATTACTACCACTCTACACGACTCTAGTGTGCCCGCAACTGGAGTATTGTGCTCAGTTTTGGGCCCTTCATTACAGAAAGGATATAGCCAGGTTGGAGTCAGTGCAGTGTAGGGCCACAAGGTTGGCGGCTGGTTTGCAGGGGATGCCGTATGAGGCGAGACTGAGGGAACTGGGTTTCTTCAGACTGGAGAAGAGGAGACTCAGAGGGGATATGTTGGCGACATACAGGTATGTGAGGGGATGTCACATGGAGATGGGTAGAGACCTGTTCTCCCCTGCAAAGGAAGGCAGGAGGCGCTCCAACGGAGCAAAGCTCAGGGAGCCAAGGTTCCATTTGGATGCCAGGAAGCACTTCCTGACAGGACCCTGAGGGTGTGGAATGGGCTTCCCCGGGAGGTCGTTGAGGCCCCATCGGTGCGGGTGTTCAAGGATAGGCTGGACGTCCACATGGTGGGCATGTCGTGAGCGGAGCCGGCTGGTGCCGGAGGTTAGACTAGATGGCCTGGGAGGCCCCTTCTGACTCGCTCTGTTTCTATGTTTCTAAAGAGGTGGTGCACTAGCTCAATATGTCAATTGGAGACAAACTCTGAATACCACCGAGTATCTGGAGGGGATGCAACCTTCAGGGCAGAAGTCTCCCTTCCTGTGGGAGAAAATCTTCCACTGGTTCTAGTCCTACCCCTAATTCATTCAGAGTGCAACTCTCCGTTTGAGACAGGAACTATCTAAACTACAGACATCATGGCCACAACATCTCATCAAATGGGTTTCTTTTTGTACTAGTTAGTCTGATGAGGAGTTCCCAAGAAAGCTGGCAATCATTTGTGGAATGTTAATTGATCCTGATGCACACATTGCCCAATTGTGGATTTTTCAAGGACCAGCATGAAATCAGACATTTTGGCTCTTGTCTGACACTTGACTACAATTTTCTTCTGCCTTAAAGCTTTCAAATTCCTAATATTTACTGCCATACTGTGCCATTCAACATGTCTGAATGCAACAGAATATGTGCAGAACAGAAGGAAAACATTCAGGTGTGTGCTATGCACATGTATTACATGTCCAAGCAACTGTGCAGCTTTGACTACTCCCCACCTCCAGAAAAAAAATGTTTGGATGCCCATGCATATATTACACTGAGACAGAAGACCCAAAGAGAACCTGGACAAGTATTTCCATGATGACAATTTCTGAAGCAGCTAATACAGTGGGCATTGTGCAAGCTAAAAACAGAACAAGTCTTGCTATCTACAAAAACAAAATTAAAAAAAAACTAAGATGGAAGGAAAAAGAAAAATTAGAACGAACAAACAAAGCAGTTGGAAATTGCAAGCTTGTTACCATTGGTTAGATGCTATAGTTAGTCAAAATTAGGTCCTACTGAAAAACAGTAAGTCAAGGTATTTACTACTTAAGTCCAGTTGCTTTCAATGGGAACAGAGTGGGGCTAACTAAGTCTTGGTCTAGCCTAATGATTTTGCTGTCCCTGTAGCTTGAGGAAAACAGAAAAGCAAGAGAAAGAAGCGGAAAGCAAATGAAACTCACCTCCTCCGCAAGACTCAGAGCATTCTGTGAAGCCCTCATATTCCCAGTCATAGAGTTCATCAAAGTCCTGTGAGCCACCATAGAGAAGATCGATCTCTTCAGGACTATATTCACCGGTGTCCCCATTGCAAGGTCCACCATAACAAGCTCGTTCAGATGCTGGCTTTGGCCCTTCACATTCATCGATGGGCAAATCAGCCACAGACTGGGAGAAGGACAGCAGCACTTGGCATTTCACCAAACGCACTTGGATGCCAACCCCGCAGGTCACACTGCAGGCAGACCAGGCCTCAGGAATGAACCTACGGTGATGAAGAGAGTGAGAAGGAAAGCAAAAATAAGATTCATCTCTCCAAGGTTCCTGAGCCTCGCTGACTGCAGTGTCACAATGGCTAAGGTGCTTTCATGACTGACAGACAGACATTTGAAACATACATTGTCACAGACTCCCCGATTACTCAAAAGTCTGAACATGGGGCATTTGTACCTTCCACCCTTGACACACGGGGCAGATGTTATGTTTTAGAACAGTAAGTGTTCAACATGCATGCAAATCAGCAGACAGACTGCTACACAAAACTAGGTAGCTCACCATTTTCATGAGATGAATGAGCTTTTTATTATGTTTGTTTTGTGACATGCAAGCCATCACTTGATGTAGAAGTGACTCTGGTTAGCAACCAAACATCACAGTAGCAGAAGTGATGGGACATCCTCTCCCTCCCCTCCAACCTGTAGCCCTCCACAGCACCCAACACTCTTGCTCCAGAGGCTTCCCCAGAGTTTATTTTGAGCGTATTGCTGTGAGGGGAATTTCCCCCTTTCAGTGCCACTGATGGAACTGCAGAAAAGCAGTGCTGAATCCAACTTCATATCTTTGCCACTGTCACTAACATGGAAGCTGTATCTATACCTTCCACAGTGCAGGGAAATGGGCTAGCTGCCCTTAAACAAAGCACGGCCTTGTAATTCTGTTTTCCTGTGGATTCTGCTTATGTGCATTTGCCTAGACATGACTGTAACATGTAATTCTGGGCAAAAATGACTCTACTGTTAAAATGCTGTTAAAAGAATATATAGCACACTCTGTTAAACAGAAGTACACACACACACAAACACACACACAAACCACATGCTCACAGTAAGAGCAAAAAGTGAAATGTATCGCTCGTAAGGAACCTCTTCCAGGGGATGAAAATTGCTGCATAAACTATAATGTACTCATTATTAATCACTTCACTGTGCTCAGTAATTCATAACTAAAATGCAGGAAATAACATTAGGAAGTTCTATTTTTCTGCTTCCTAAACAGATATTTTGCATTTTGAGTTATGAGCATAGAAGGTTGGGTTTATGCGTGGTAATAACTTTCTTCAAAGACGTGAAGGGAACCCATGGAGCTGAAAGCAATAAAACATACCAGGTTGCCATTAGAAAGTCAGCATTTACTAACAACAACCACGTTTTAAAGTTTGGTGAAAGTGCTGCTTTGGCCAGTTTCAGAAAGCAGAAATGTACTATATAATTACGAGCTTGTGGGCATCAAATGTTACCATTCACTTATTGTTCATTACTTTTTTTGCAGTACAAATATGCTGCCATCTTATTAATCTATATGCAATGAGGATCATTTTGCTAATCAGAGGTACAGATAAATAGAAGTGTTTACACTATAATGGATTTTCCTCTGGATTTAGATCACCTAAAGGATTAGTTCAGGGTGGTTAATAAAATTCAGATTACATACTCTTACCATGCATTAACATAGTAAGGAGCTTGGTATGTAAATATTAACCAGATCTGGTGGAACTTCTATACACCTGAGTACCAGATGCTGCGAACAAGTAAGGAATGCCCATACACCCTGCTTGTGAGCTCCTTGAGGCATCAGAAGCAGAATATGTGCTCAAGGTAATCTTGTCAAGCATTCTGTTTTCAGACGCCTCCAGCAGCTCACAGGCAAGACATGAACACAATGCTGTTCCAAGCACCAGGTATTCCAGTCTACAACACCTGACTGTATGGGAGTTCCTTCTGCCGTGGTCCACAGCAGACCTATTCTCTATAAACCCAGTTAACCCCATCCAGACTAGTGGCTGTTGCTGTACTCTGGAGGGACAAATACTGTGACAGCTGAGCATCATCTGCTAGATTTCCCCGTTACTGTCTGAAGCACCTCAGTTTCACTGGATCAATCAAAGTTCTAGCGATATCCAGTGGAGCAGGTCTGTTAGTCTGCTGCCACAAGAAGTTCTGTTGCACCTTGAACTAAAGACTAATAAATATATTATGGCATAAGCCAGCCTTCCCTAATCTAATGCCCTCCAGAGGTTTTTTTTAAATTTTATTAAGATTTTTAAACTAACACTAAAGACATCAATCATCAAATACATCAGACGTACTGGGTCAGCCCCCTACTCATATTTTTTAACATTCCATAGTCACATTCAAATCCATTTACAATAACGTAAAAACATCTTTAAATCTAAGCCAAGTCCCGTTTCTCTAGCCAATAATAAAAAAAATCCCAAGTTTGATAGAAGTGCCCTCCAGAGGTTTTAGACTACAACTCCCAATGGTCAAGGATGCTGGGAGATACAGTCCAAAACATCTTGAGAGCAACAGGTTGAAAAAAATTGGCATAAGCTTTCATGGACTACAGTCCATTTTCTTGGATGCTCATGAGAAAAAATATTATGTTTATTAGTTCTTTCCACAATTTTTGTAATTTTATACATCTTTTTTTTTTTGGCTGGCCTCTATCACCATACATTTCTTTCCACCTTCATGATGACTGAAAAATGCACATTTTTATGAAGAATTAAATTAAAACCAGACTGCCTCTATCTCACAAGTTGCTATATTTGTAATTATGTATTTAAAATTCTTCTTGTAAGGGCAGAACCCTTACATGTACACCAGCAATAGCATGTTTATGTAGGGCAACTGTGGTGCTGTGGTTAAGGGTATGGGACTGGAATTCAGGTAATCTGGGTTCTAGTCTACATGCCGCTCTCAAGCTCATTGGGTGACCTTGGACCAGTCACAGACTCTCAGCCCAACCTACTTCAAAGGGTTGTTGTAAGGATGAGATGGAGAAGGGGAAAGAAAAGAATATGTAAGCAATCTTGAGTTCCTTCAAAGGAAAAAAGGCAGGACACAAAGATAGCAAACAAACAAACTAGGGTCAGCAGGCGTATTTGCAAATTTAAGAAATTATCCTGGGCACCACTGCACAACTGCTACAATGAGAGGCATGGCTAGTTACAAGGGACAAGAGCTTGCACAAAAGTTCAGGGCAGATGTAGAAGTGTTAGGGCACCTCAATGGTTGCCCGAAATGGAATCTGGGAGCGCGTTGTCCATGAGCACCACATCATCTGAATTCCTAAATTGCTTATTAATTCTGGGAAAGCTGCTTGGATGAAGACATGAAACGTGCAGTCTACATGGTTCATTGGCCACTTTTTTCTTTTTTGCACCCACTATTAAAACAGCAAGTTTTCTACCTGAGTGTTGGGATAGCTGTGAAACTGGTTGCTGTTGGTGCTGCAAATGATGCATTCGGAGGAGCTGATCTGTGTGTTGTGGCTCAAATCCCACCTCTACCTTGGACAGGTGCCTTCTCCTTTGCCATGCCTTCTATGACAGCCATTTTGTGGTGGTGCTCAGGACAGTTTCTCAAATTGCCAAATGTGCTCACAGCCCTAAAAAGTTGCCTATTGAGGCCTAGAAGAGTGACTGCCTTATGACCTTGACTGTGAAATGGAATTAGCATGCACTTATCTATGGATCATGGCTAATCCAAGAATAATTACAGCTAGCAAGCTATTGAAACATCTTTTACAAAGCACAAACAATGTGGTTAGTTAATATATATATATTAAAATTCTCTAGCTGCAAAGTAAGAGGCAACATGAGCTTTCTTTTTGATGTGATGTTTTGCCCAATTGTTTTATAAACTCGTTCCCCTTCAGACAGAAATGATTGAATTCTTTTAAGTTTTAAAAATTAGCATGCATCAGATTCAGCATTGGAGGTTAACAGTACAGCTCCTCCAATAAAGATAATCTCATTTGTATTAACCACCTCCAACATAATGCACTCTGCTATTTTAAGCAGCACGTATTTGTGAGAATGCCCACAAGGACTTGGAACAATCATACGCACTCATCTTTTACATTCTCTAGAGCAAAGCAAGGTGGTGCACACTCGAAGCTTCATCAGAACAGTGACAAGGGGAATAGATAAGACAAAAGAAAAGAGCACAAAATTTGATCCAATGCCTTATCAGCAGAGGCCATGACCATAGAAAGTATACATCTGAACACCCTCCAGATGTTTTGGACTGCAACTTCTATCATCCCTAGACAACAATGGCTGTGCTGACTGGGGTGATGGGTGCTGTAACTAAGTACATCTGAGGGATATTAAATTGAGGAAGGCAGCAAGAAAAGTAGGGGCAGAAATAATTTGTAGCTAATAAATATGTGAGAGCTGTGTACTAATGGTCTTTCAAAATTTTCCACACTATTTGTGGGTGAAGAAACAGGGGAGTATGTCATCACATTTTTCCATGTGGAGTAGAAGTTTTCCTAACAAACCCCAACCCTTGATCCAGCAATTTATCCCATCTCTAAGGACAAAAGACAACAACCTGGCACACTTCCAAAAGTATCCAGACGTGTCCTTTTGAGTATCATCCAGCAGGATTCTTCCTACACCACACTGGTTACAAGTTACTCTTTTCTTAGTTTATCTTCATGGTAGCTTACTTATCACCACCTGCAGCACTATGTAGGAGTTGTTCTACTAGCCATAGGTAAAGAATTGGCTCTCTCAAGGGAGCACAGACTTAACACCACCTTAATGATTTCTAGGTGACTACAATCCACTCTCCTTTCCATTGTTGCGTGTGAGCTTGACTCAAATGGAAGCATGCTAGGAATTTCCTTTTGTTTCTTACGGAACCAGTCTCATCACTTAGCTGATGCCATCTGGTATCCAGATATTACTGTTGCCCTCAACCTTTTTGTTTTCCTTTTACAGCTCGCACCAGGTTACTTACGACAAAACGTAAAAAGCCTGATACCATGTTAACATATAAAAGTGTTATTCAAGTGCTAACAAAGTGAAATCTTTTACACACCTCCCTGCTATAAACTCTACAAATCAGTGAAAACAAATAGGACTCATGTTTTTCCAGTCATGAAAGCTCTGCTTCCAGTTCCAGGTTGTGTAATGAGCTATTAAATCAGGCTCCGATGAGGAAGTGGAACATAAGGATATCCAAGGTATGAATG